GAACCACGAAGACGAAAGTATCTACCGAAGACCATTCGCAAAAAACGCTTACAGGTCAGTGCAGTGAGCAGCAGACTATCATCTCAAAAATTTCATGGATATAAATGACAACTTCATTTGCACGCTTCATTAATTATGCCGTGAATTATGGATGAGCCGAGAATATCCGATCGTCGGCAACCCCAACGATAGCAATCTAGATATCTCAAGTTAGGCTCCTGAGCACCTTTAAGGATTCGGCTCCTGAATTTATCCCTGTATTCGAGAGCTTCGACTTGACTTCAAATCAACTAAATTCAGCAGTCAAGAAATTTCATTTCATTTTATCACAATTTCAAATCGAACAGCTCCAGCAAATATCCCAGCAGAATGTTTTGTGTGCCTTATTAAACGTTAATAGAAGTTGCGATGAAATCTTCGTATTGTATTGTAGCAAACTGCTAATTCAAATCAAATCTATTTGATTGATTTCTGATCTGATCCAATTCTAGTTTTGATCTATTCTATCACTCCAGCACAGNTGATCGTGAGTCAGCACGATGAATGCTATTTACTATGGAATGCCAGTGTGTATTACGTATAGAATAGTGTAAAAAACGAGAAAATGATGTTGCTTTCAATACTTCATTGAACACACTCATAAAAAGTCTCAATTACATTGAACTTCTACTCTGACTGATATGTAACACGGAAGTGACTTGATATTTGATTTTGATCAATTGAGCTCCTCTGATCACTGATGTGAGATAAAATTTTGATCAGACGGTGCTTTCTTCGGGCAAAAAATAACTCAAGAATTCTGTGCGCTGCTAAGAAATCCATGCGAGCCTGGCGTTTCCGAATCTGATTTCCCCTGAAATCAATCCAACTCGCTTGAATGATTGAAATGATTCGCTTGAATTTTTTGTTTTAGAGTTGAGTATGCTCTCTCTCTGTTCGTACTGAAATTTGTTGTGAGACACAATGTAATGATGTTTGATGCTGTCCCATCGTAATTTTAAAAAATCGTATTTTTTTCCTCACTTCCATCGATGAATTTTTCCTGACTTCCTTCGGTTTGCAAACGAATCTCAACTAAAATTTTCTATTTGATCGATTTGATTTGATTTCTATTTCTGATTGATCTATTTGACAACGAATACTGCACATAATCTGATTGATCTGTTATAATCCATTGTAATGATTCATCACATGAATGAATTTCATTCACTGCATTCGAAATGAAGTTCCTCGAAAAAAAACCGCAAAGTGTAATTGCACTCTACTTCACCTTTGCCGCTAGTTATGATTATCCGATGTTTAAAATTATATTACTGATTACAAGCATGGAACTTTAAAGTCATTCCAAGAACCAGGGCAATATTGCGNTATATTACTGATTACAAGCATGGAACTTTAAAGTCATTCCAAGAACCAGGGCAATATTGCGTTAACGGAAGGATCAGCGCAGACGTCAGCACCACATCCACTTGTATCAACCTAACAACGATTATCCCCAACATCCTAGCTGATAGCTTAAAAACGAACTGAAACCGAAAAAACAGAGAAAGCGATTATGCCTTTTTATGATTCAGTACACGGGCAAGATGTCATGTCATGTCACTATAAGGCACGAACAGAAAACAATACTAGTAGAGTTAGCTACGAAGTTAGTTAGTTAGTTAGTGGTCAAAGGAGATCAACTTAGTGCTGCCTTGAATGCTTTCTGTGTTGATTGGCACATGCATAGCTAGCTAGCTGTGTGTGCATGTGCATGTGCATGTGCATGCATGGATGAGGAAGATACCAGCATGTGCCAGACACATGAAAAAATTTTTGCATTTACTAGTGAAGAATTCACATCTCCCAATCCTTTATGATGATTGGACTG